ACTTCGAATGTGATCAGCAGGGCAAGAAAACATCGGGGATTCCTTAAAAATGGGATTCCTTAAAAATGGGGCCGCACTGTTAAGAAGAGTGTCTCGCAATTTGTTTTCAAAACAAATTTCCTAGAGTGGAACTGGCAGAGCACACAGGAAGGAAGGGAAAGGGTGAAAAAGGAAGCCTTTGAAAAGACAAAATTTCGCAGTTTTGGGAGATTCATGAACATTCCGGAAATTTGCCCGTTATTTTTCAGCTTTCACCGTGCTATTATATGTTAATACCACATCCTCTTTCTATTCTGCTTCACAGACGTTTTTCGACCAAAGCCAAAGATATTGCTCCGTTATGATGGAAGATGGACATAGAAACAAAGGTGGAATAGGGACAGATTTCAACAGGGTCAACCGTCCGTTGGACAAAGTCCAACGCGACGACGCCGAGAGTGAACGTACGCACGGAGACACAGACGGCTCGCGGGTGGCGAGAGTGAATGCCGGCGCGGAGAGCGGTCAACATCGGTCCAACGTCGCTCCAATATCGGTCCAACGTAACGGTTGACCCTGGACTTTAACTGTGGGAGTCCTAGTAGCGCATCAGCGCTTGAGGGGTGGGTTGCCGCAGACAAGTCCTTCGACACGTTGGTCAAGCTAGACATCGATACTCAGAATTACGCAGGTTTACGCTTTGCCACACCGTTGTATTTGATGGACTTTATAAAAGTTGTAAGGAATGGATCAATGCGATTCAGTTGACCAAGCTGAGGAAAGATGTATAACATTTGTGGAGGTCATAGCTGCCAATCTGGGCTTCTTTAATGTTTTCGTTATTGGTGGCTCGATTGAGTTATTATACCACTTGTTTTTCGATTCGGAATTTTATTACTCCATAAGGGTCCAATACCACACTCTCCCCTAAGGACCGACTTGGCTTGGCTGGCCTGGGTAAACCTCAAATGTTAGGCGCGCCTCTTGCCTTCACGTTGCCTCTGCCTTAAAGCACACACACTTCAGTTTTATCAGAACAGGTTCACCGTTATGCCGAATATTTTTCTTCACCGCAGCTCACGATGAAAAAATTGAATTAAAAATCCGATAAAAAAACTCACTCCCCACGGAAGATTAAGTGCGAATGATTCCTTGAGGTAGTACAAACACCAGGTGATGATTACATTGTAGTAAAGAGCTACTAGATAAGAAACAACAGCGGCTGATACACCAAGACCTGAAAATATTAGGCATGGATCAATCCCTATACACTGAGGATTAAAATAGGAAATTGTGAAGAAAATTTTTCTTCAACCACTGCGTGTCGAGTAATGCTCTAGTATGTCTTTTTTGCTAGGGTTATGAACAACAAACACAAGGAATATGTCCAGGTAGGACTCAGGGTGCGTAACTGTTACAATAACAAGGACAGCTTTCGAATAAGCATTTATTCGCAGCATGCCCCCCAAAATGGTATTGTTCGGGATTGCAGTTATTTCAGCCGCTTTAAAGACATACGGTCTGAGTAATAGCTCAGTGGAATTGAAAATTCTCTCTCACGTCATTTTTATTTCAAATGTCCCTCAGCGAAGTCCTATATTCATATTTTTCATTGATCTAGGTACAATTTCTTTTGAAAGAATCAAAAGGTAAAGGGACGAGGGGCGTACCCGAACAAAATTATCAAATATGTGATCTTGGAAAAGAACAAATGGAGCTCATGTTCGCTTTTGCAAGATATATTGATGATACACTGATTGTTTCACAACGTAAAGTGTGAGCAGAATTCGAACTCAACAACTTTAAGGAGGTGAAAACGGATTATTGCATTAAAGGAAGCGATTACGATAAAGAGGAGCGCATCGGGGAAGCATGTGCACCACACGAATCAGTTACTTGGCTGCCAGGGAAGCGAGTGTGGCGCTTTCACGACGAAAGGTGCGCTGGTTGCTGAGCAGGACTTCGAAAGCGCTCCGCCCCAAAAGCGATCCGCCCACTAGTTTAGTGATTTGGACGAGCTGCGTTGCCAGCAGCGGCACAACTGGAGCAACTCGATTGGAGCGTGGTTTGGCATGGTGCCACCAAACGCGTTGCGGTGAACTCGTTCATACGTCCACTTTCTGAGCTGTTACCTGTTCATGAGTGAAAACCAACGGCCAAAAAAAAGGGTCCCGTTTTGCGTTTTCTTGACGGATTTTTCTGCTTTTTTCGCTACTGGCACCCACACACACGTCACACTAAGCCCTTTTGAATTTATCGCAATCGCTGCCTTTAATAGTAAGTGGTGTAAAACAGAAGGTACCGCCTTCCATGAGCATTAACAACCGGACGGAAAAAGTGCCCTTTGAAACTACGGACAATAATAGCACAGCTAACTTTTTGACGTGAAGAAAACCAACAATAGGTAGACAAAAATCGCTGAAGGGTAAAGTTCTGTAACGACTACATACGCTAGGATCCGACTCCCACCCCAGTCGGTATGACTGCAAAAAATAGTGATAGAAACGGAACTGAAGGGTCTTCCGAACAATCCGGAATTCCAAAAAAAGCCCTTTGTAGGGGAAAAGTGCTGCTTTCAACGAATAAATTTTTTGAAACTAACCGAACATGATATTTAGCTTGAAAATTACGACTAAGTTAGTATTCAAAAACACGTTGCCTTGACTAACTGATCGGAGGATTTTGCCAAAATTCGCCAAATCAAAGCCAGGGCGGTCACTTGACATGGGTGAAAAGCATGTGCCTACCCCACTTGTACAGAGCCCAAGAAAGGAAGTTTCACGGATTTCATTGTAAATCAATCAAACAGAAGAGGAAGAAGGGAAAACGATTGAAAAAATGCAGTGTGGTGGAATAAGTTCATTGAAAGGGTGATTGGTGAACGCAAAACGATCAATAGAGCAAGGGAAGGTGGATGATATCGAAATAGAGGTAGCGTGTGGGAGAGGTAGAACAAAGGGGATAATGGAGCTGGTAGATGTGGCACAAGGAAGGAAGAAGTAATGATGTTAAGGACTTGTGTTTCAGTGAATTGACCGGCTGGACTAAAGTGAAAGAGACGAGAAAGGGAAAGAGAGTCGGTGGCCGTAAAATTTTTATGAGAAGGGCTAGATAGGTAGACAAAGAAAAAGAAATAGAAAGATAGGAAGGGGAAAGGTAGCCTCTGTTCTGTCAGAGAAACACAGGTTTACTTATGACGCTCTAAGCTGGAGCAAATGAAGAAAGAAACATTAGTCGAAAAATTTGTAATACGAATGATAAAAATCAGACTAATATCTTCAGTTTCAAAAAAAGGAAATACTCAAAAGCTAAACCTATGTAAAATATTGATAGAGGGGCTCAAGAATGAACATCTTGGTGTTTTTAGGAGCAGTCACCAGAGAATCCGCCAAGATCGCCCAAAATGAGTCCCTCATTGCACTCCATTTTTAGCAATATACGAGCTTACGATAAAGAGACACTGGGAGGCGGTACGAGGGGCAGGTGTCAGGGGGACGAGAGAGTAGAGGGACAAGTGGGACGCAGACACCATCCATAAGATCAGCTCTGATGCGGGCTCATGGGCAGATGACGTAATGTCGCAGGAGCAACATCGGTGCCTAACAGCTTTTCCTCATTCGTCGGTGCACTTAATTTGCATGACTATTGCTAAGCTGTCCACCTTTCTCGCGCTATGATATCAATAACTACCGTGCCTCAGACCGATTATTCATTACATTGCACTTGTCTTCAGTGAAAAACTAAAATGTGAGTACGAAATAATCGGAATTAGGAGGCTGTAAAGGAAGGGCGACGTTACAATCTCAAAATATGTTTGACATTCTTGAGCAGTAGCTAGAGCAAACCGTAGCTTCGTGATGAGCTGTAAGCCATAGCTGTTTGCGCTTCGATATTTATGGCTTGGGTGCTGTCAATAGTACTACCACGAGATGGTAAGTAACCTCCCCTTCAAAAAGCGAGAAAGTGTCGGGTGCAGACCAAACACCACAACTGACGACGGCCTCCAAGTAAATCTGGTTAGAAGTTGTTCATAGTGATAGCTGATTTCTGGTAAATGATAGTTGTAATTAGTGACAACTGATAGAATACAACTGCAACAGGCTAATCATTTCATTGGCAGAAAACATTTACATTTTGTGGAGGCCGTCGTCACTTGTGGTGCATGGTCTGCACCCGACACTTTCTCGCTTTTTGAAGGGGAGGGTATGTATATCGAACAAAAACTAACCTCCGAGGTAAGGATGAATTGCATTCCACACACCCATTGGACCAGTTCGTAATCGCTGTCCAATACCCAATTCAATCAAAAACAAAGGCAAACCAAGTAGGACCATCATAATCACATATGGAATCAAGAACGCTCCTGAAATATTTTGGGTTTAGCATTTTGCGACAGCTTCCAGCTTCAAACTCGTCCACATTAATTTAAAATAGCTATTTAAATTACACTGTATTTCATACGCGTTATTCCTTCCTTTGTTTGTTGGTTGGCACCCCCTTGAGTGTATTGAAATAAACAAATAAATAAATAAATAAAATAGCTACAGTAGTAGTCGAAAGTTTTTTTTCGCGAAAAACTCGGATGAAGCAGTTTATATGCATTACATTTCTCCGTTTTGGAAAAATCCAGAGCACAAATAAAAAATTTTGTTTTGTAATTGAATAATAATAAGGACATTTGCTTGGTTTCTTCGAATTCTTTTTTTATTGAGCTTGCCTTTTAGAACCACGGGAACATATAGATTTGAAAAAAAAAATAAGAGAGAAAACTTATCGAAATTTGGGTCAAAGTAATCAGTGGAAAAAAAGAAAGAGAGAAAAACCATTTCGGGAAAAAATTGACTTCACTGTGTGATTGAATTCAATGCACTTTTTTTTTAGCAAACCACAAAAAAAACTTTTATAAAAGGACACAAGAACTTGAATTTGTCTCACCACCGCCGTTTTTCTGACATAAGTATGGGAACCGCCATACGTTTCCTAATCCAACGGCATAGCTGACAACACCCATGTAGAATTGTGTCTGAATGATGAGTTGATTAATGCACATGTGGGAGAAATGCTGTACTAACTTTAGTAAAAGAATGAAAAAAAATGAAAACAAAATAAATAGCTCTTAAAAAATTTAAAACGTGCACACTTTGTTATCCCATTGCTCGCGTTTTTGAACGTGTTCATCATCATGAAACGTGGCGGACTGATTGCTTGCCTGAAAAATAGGCTCTGAGAGTATCGTAACAATAACTCAAGTAATGAAAAAACAAGCAAACTCTTGTATGAAATATTCAAAAGAATTATTCACAATATTAAAGGCTAGTGCTCAGGGCCGAGGCAGGGAGAGTACTGACAAGAACTCCCCGAATGGAGATGGATCTCGTTTGACCCGGCAGAAAGTTTATGTCGGTTCTAAATAGGGAGTGGAAAGTGTACCAGTTGTGACCTCAATGATTTCGGGGAAAACTGCAAGACATCTGCCAGAGGGGGATGTTTTGCCACGGCCATTCCCTCATGCAATTTCTGGCCATATGTAGGTGTATTGGCCCAATGATGAACATCAGTCGAGTATTTCTAAGAGACCGTATATACCTTCCTTGATGGGAAGCGTCTGTACGAACCTTATATACATTGAAACCCCCAACAATTGAATTGAATTGAAACTTTGGTCACTTCATGTCACGAGTTATCGGATTTGCTGCTTATCAGATGCAGCCCGGACTCATGCCAATTCCTCAGCGATTTGGAATCAAGCTATTATACTTCCCTAGAATATCTCGAGGACTTTTCGAACGGCTGCTTTGCCTGAAGTTGAGTAGCGTGCGTCACCTGATATCATGGATGACAGCGTCAAGTTGCTAGAGAATTCCGCACTTATTGATCTTTTTACTGGAGAAAATCTTTAGGCGTAGTCCTTCTTACCTGTATCATTATAAGGTGCTAAGTGAGGAGATTCAAATGAATGCTACGATAGGTTGTGTTGATTTGTGACAAAAATGCTCGTCCACCCTCGCGACCCACTTCTGCGCCCAGTAAGGTGGATATCAGACTCGGCGATTCGCGGCAGCGACAGCGACAGCGCGCCTCACGCAAACCATTCGGGTCAATAACGACATGCCACATTCGGCTTGTGCGTTAAACGGCCACAACGCGGTTGCGATTGCGCATTTACTAAGTCCGACATCCACCTAACAAATGCGGAGCCGGTCAAGGAACACTTATACAAGGATTGCGGCGCTTTCCCAGCTTGCAACCCTTTGATATGGGAGTTGCTAGGAGCCTACTTACGTCTCTCAGTTGTAACTCGGGTACATATTCATATCCAAAACCCTATCATTAAATCTTTCCTTGATCCAGGATTGCAACCTTATTGGGGATAATTGGAAGGAGATGCGTTGAGGGATGAACTTGAGGAAAGTGATCGCTTTTTTGGCATCGAAAAACAGTTTAAAAAAAAACAAAAAAAACAGTTTTTCAGCATCAAAAACAAAAACATCAAGTACATCTACTGCTTCTGTAAACGTAGACCGAATGTTCTTCAATACAAATTGTAGGCATAATTTTAATTCGATAATTTATCAAAGAAGAAACACGAGAAAAGCGAAGCAGACGCGGGCATCATCCAAACTGTGCGATACTGGGGGTATCTTCTATTATAGACTGAACGAAAAAAAGGCCAGAAAAGGCAAAAATTAATGCAACCTCTTGAAAATTTCAAGAAAAGTGATTTCAGGGAGTTGTCAAAACATGGGTTTTCAAAAAAGTACTGAAGATGGACCCTAAAACTACCTCATTCATCTGGAAGTCGACACCTTCAATGTTAACCGATTGATCGTTGAAGGTGACTCTGGATCCGAGCCGAATCTCTTCTTCACTACCGGAAGTGAATGTGGCTCGTTTACCAGGAATATCCAAGAGATCAGGAGGTCCAGGCGACATTTCTGCAATTCAGAAAACTTACGATGAGAACAGAAGTGTTGTCAATACCACGACGCGAAGACATGCTTTGAATAGAGTATTCCCATGTTCTACGGAAATGGACCTACATCACAGAGAGAGCGCGCTAGTGTAAGACTGTAATGTAAGTGTAACGAGTATGTTCGGTTACGGTAGGTACCGTAGTCTGCCAGGTACATACTCTAGGAACCGGTTGTCGTTACCGTTAAGTTCCGGGATTTGACAAAACCATTGCAAACAACTTCCTTGCGCTCTGTGGACTGGCGGAGACAACTAGCCCTAACTATTATCGTCAGGATCTAGGTTATGATTAGGCCCACCGGAATGAGAGACCTACTTGTTTCATGGTTCATTTGTTCCTGGTAGCCATGAGAAGCCTCAAATGGTACAAGGATGCCTGAGCTTTGACGCTACCGTGCCGAATATATAATTGCACACAGATTTGGGTACTCGGGCTCTCAAGGTGGAAAGCATTGGCCAGCGTCTCGCAGGGTGAAAATCGGTCGAGGAAACGGCAACGGCTCGTCGAGGATTTTCGCCTGTTCAGTCACGCTCTCCCGCGCGGATATTCACTCTCGCCACCCGCGAGCCGTCTGTGCTCTCCGCGCGTACATTCACTCTCGACACTACTCTCGCACATACGACGAAATCGAGGATTTTCTCGAGCGTTATTCACCCTGATATCTCGAGACATGGAGAAAATTCACATACATGCTTTATTTTGTAATGGTTATAAAGCAAAGATCCGTTCAGCACAGCCAACTTAAGCTGAATATTTGAAACAGAAGGAACTGAAAACAAGAAGACCAAGCCATGACATGCCTTCGATGAAAAAGCGGTTATTGAGAGCGATGAAGAAAGAGAAATAGCCCTTAGTACTACGTATATGGTCCTGAGATTAAATAATGGATCAGTTCCCATCCACAATAACAACGTCATCCTTCCTTAGCCGGTTAACTGGATCCAGCCTTAGTAGATTAACCGCCCAACTGTGGATAAAAACTTGGGCTTGCATATCTACTGGCACAACAAGCAGGCTCTAGGCACTGACGACGAAAATTCCCAAACAATGACCCCCCCTCCCAGTAGAGGGAACCTTTGGTCTACTGACACCTTCGCCAAAAATTTCTCGAAAGGGGATGGAGATAGGAATGGAAAATGGCCACATTATAAACATCCACTGAACTTTCGAAATTCCCCTTTTCCATTACTATTTCATCACTTCAAAACGCTTTCTTGTTGACCTCTCAACACGACCTTCTCCCTCTCAAAAAGAAGCGACCAAGTCGTCGGACCACTTTAGCGAACGTATGATTGTATTCACAGGTCAGTGTGCAAGCCAAATTGTATCCAAATGCTATTACAACTCTGGAAGTAGTAAAATGCACGGCCCATCCGAACGTAGTCGAGTGCATAATCCTTTTCATCGTTACTTGGAATGATTACTGGACAGACTAGAGACTGGAGAACACCTTCTGCCCACTGACACCTCACTGAGTCATATGCTTCGCCAAAACCTTCTCGAAGGGGGAAGCAGATAGAGATAGGGAAAGTCACATTATAAACGGTGCTGGTCCATAGAACTTTCCAAATTCCCCTTTTCCATTACCATTTCATCACTTTAATGATACAATGTTATCTATCTCTCAGACCCCTATGACTTGCTACATAGAGGTTATGCTTAGTGAAGAAAAATGGTGATAAGCTATGGTCCAAAGTCAGAAAAAGGCCACTGAATACGCTGCCACAAGGAAATATACTTGACGTGACGGAGCCATCGATGAAGAGAGAGCTCATCTCGGATGAGGACTCCAAACTTGGCAGCCTAAATAGTAGACATAAAGGGACTACTAGTCTGATGAATGGTTGAAATGACTAGATGTTTGTTCTCCAACAAAGAATGGTAAAAGGAATGCAATGGAATTGCAAATGCGAAGTTTCCCGATGACTGTACGATTGCTGGAACACAATGGGACGTACTGGACAACGCTTTAGTGCAAAAACTGACGAGTTCAATCTCATACTAGGCTGATGGTATAAGAAGACACATTTAACCTACGAGGGCAAAAATTCACCCCAAGCAAGGAGAGCAGATCCGCGCAAATAGGGGGGAGCTGGAAATAAGGAAGTGGCAATGAGAATACGCTAAAACGCATTGGTCGTCATCCATATCATGCCGTTTCCTGCAAAAATTCGGTCGGAATCTGACGTCAGCACGCAATGGAAAGGAAATGGGAATCAACCAAGAGGTGGTCCTCCGATTCTTGAAGGCAGCCTAAGAGAGCCCCGAGAAAACAGGTAATGATAGCGTCCGGATTCCTCTGATATTGAAAGAGCAAGGGAGGAATAAATAGACAGAAAACGGATGGTGTTCGAAGAAAGAAAGCAAACATATCATATAGCAAAAGGAAGAGCATATGGGTAACACTAGAAGAGGCAGTTATTTTACCAAGGTATACCGCGACCAAGTGACATAAGGAGATCTGGGGCAATGTGAAGAAACTTCGAGAGTCCCTTGGTGGGGTAGGCCGTATTCCCCTAAATTTTTACGCCATTTTGAACATAGGGGAGCGTTTGAACAAAAATTAGACGAAGTAGTAGTAGGGTTTGAATTTGTTGGAAATAGTGGTATGAATTTTCGACGGATTTCCAAAAAATGTTGCGCATTTCGAGAGTTTTCTGAAAACGTTAGAATTCTCATTACATTGAGTACGTTGGGAGTGGGACCTCATAAAGGTAAAAAGTGCCAGCAAAGAACTGTAGGAGTAGTACTACTCTAAGAAGCTAGTGTTAGCCAAATTTTTCGGACCCTTGGAAAGCACGTGGCTTATCCCAGGCTGAATTTCATGCGGAAACCTCAGGTTACATCTTGAAAAGAGAAAAACTCTATAGTCGCGCCGAGTAGACAACCTCTCTGTATTCAAGCTTGCCGTGAACTTCGATTAACAGGCCAGGTAAGGCACGATCTCGGAGAATATGAGAGCAGGGTCATGAAAAGGGTGCGTTTCATTCTTTCTCCTCAGCTCAGGTCACCTAAAATTAAGACACCAATTTGGTCGTAATAAGCCGAAGACTAGGTCCAGTCATATGCTCAAGCATGAGCCAATGTGTAAAGCCTATGCCCAAGTCTGAGCCCAGGCATGACCTTAGGCTAAATGATCGCGCAAATCTGGTGAAGTGACCTAGGAGCAGACCTAGGAACAGAACAGATCCGCACGAAAAGCAAAAGTATAGGTTTGCTAGCATCATCATTTTTGCCCCGCTCACATACAATTCTCAAAAAAGAGCTACAGTACACGAAATAATAGCTAGGCAACAGTGGTTAAATATAGAAGTCAAAATGAAAAAGAAAATGAAAGGGTGAACAGCTGGCTTTACCCTATAGAAAACGATAGAATAACCAAACAAGATGGATGTTGCAGAAAGATTACCCCAAAATTCATCAAAGGTACCGTTCTTCCAACTCCAAACCCCGTGAGGCATGACAAACGATGGCAGAGAACAGCCCACGTAGAGATGGCACCGCGAGACCTAGCTTAAAGGCTCAAGGAAATGTGTTTTGAAGGGTTGAGCGAATCCTTCGGAATTCTTTATGATCGAAAACGCTTCCAAACTCTTTGGAGAAGCAGGAAGAGTTTAGATGCAGGATCAGAAAGCAATAAAAATCTTGAGTTCACGTGCATCAAAGAAAGACCTCAGAAAACTAGGCATGTGACTGAAAGCAGCTATACAGGGTTCAGAGAGGAAGATTTGCGGGAGAATCACGAGGCAGGGTCAAACATCGCGTTTAATAAATTTCGGGCTCCGTACGAGTCTCTAACAGGGGTCGTCTTTCGCTGCTCACTTCCAATGCTCCTATGAGTCGCAACCACTGATATTGCTTCAAACTACCTAAATTGCCATTTTTAAAACCATCGAAAAACACTACTCCGGAACTCAGTTACCTGTAACACCTCAACCAACAGAAGCTCTTAAAATTTACAAAATTCGAAAATATTACGAAATTAGACGAATTCCTGTTGCTCATCATGTCCGAAAGTGCACTGCCAGCCCAATTCCACCTCCTCGCAAATGGGACAAATATAATTTCCTTCTTTTTCTTCCCCCCACATCCCTCCCCCCCCCTCGCTCCTTTGCAAATTGCAAGCATTGTATACTTGATCCTGATACAAATGAGATCTCTGAAAAGGTAAACGGTGGCAACGGGACAACCCTGGCCTGTGATGACTATATGACCAAATGATATCGGTGAGCACCTCCATGACTTTTGTTTTCCCAGAGAGCGTTCCCAAGAGGTTTCAAAAGAAAGATAAATAGAAGGAGTAGCGTCATGTACTGCTTTACTCGGCGCCGAACCATGTCTTATGACAGGTTTAAGTGGTAGGGTTTGATGAGCATAAAGGAAAATTAGGTAGCTTCCTATAAAATATGCAGGCTCCAATCCTTGGCTATATTCAAGACAGGCAGAAAGAAGAAAGAGTATTTTAACTTCTATGCGCTACCTGTGCTCAGACTTAAAGGCAGCGATCACGAGGGCGGGCGGTATTGGTGACGTCATCGAAGGCTATCGGTGGACTGAACTCGCTATGCGTTGGAGATTTTGGTTGTAACTGTATGTTAGCGCCCTTTCACTACCATGTTCAACGACCTTATCAAACCCGCACTGCCTTTCAGCTATCAAGACCATACCCTAAACTAGACTGATATCCTTCCAAAGCAATGGTCCAATAAAGTCAGATCCTCAGTTACTGATGAATTTTCAAGCGAAAAGAATGGCGGCAGTCAGTAATGCCAGTGAATCTTCCTCCCGTATTGATTGCGTTAATCGCCCTTAATCGTCTCTTCTCAGACATTAGTCCTTGAGTGATTTGCATTACTCAGCATTAATCGCCCCTTTTTAGATACCACTCCTGGGGCTCCTGAAACTACTACCTATGAACTTCACATATTTATCATATCACAAGAGAAATGCATGTAGAGAA